CTGGGACTCCTGCATTCAGCAAATTTGTTCTCCGCCCTGCTTTACTCCTTAGCACTGCGGTACCATTTCCACTGTTTCCTCCAAACCAGTCTCATTGATCACCAATAACTTCCTCTAATAAGGAAATCAAAAGGTCCTTTTCTATAATATTTATGTTTGCCTATATTTGCATAAAGAACCTGTTAAAAGCTATGTGTGGGGGCCACATGCAGAGAATGAGATGGGACAGGGAAAAACTGGGAGCAAGCTTCCCAATGTACATCTTTTATCATTTTGATTTTTGAGCCAAATAGTTTTTCTTTTTCTCCTGTACTAAATCATCCTTCTTGGTTGACTGAAGTATTTAGCATTTTTGACCACCTCTCCCTCCTGCTTTGAAACTCTTCTCTGACGACCCTTCTCTCACTCCTGGAAAAGGAAGTAGTGGGAGATTCCTCAAGGTTTAACCCACTCCCCTTGCCCCACTGGCAACCACTTGCATATCTGCAAGGCTTACCTTCTGAGTCTGCAGGCTCTCCAGTGTTTTGGTTCTTGATCTCCAGGGGTCACCGAGACACTTCCAGCTGGTTGTCACTGTTACCTAATGCAACATCTCTAATTCTACTTTGGCCTCTCTTGTGCCCTAACTCATGAACAGATCTGCTTTTTTCCCTCTTTTATACCTACACTTCTGTTTTTATTTCAGGCTTTAAAAATACCCACTCTCTTAAATTCTTTATGCAGCATCCTGTTACCCGTTCGGATCATTCATTTCACAATGGTGCATACTGTGGGCCAGGCATTGTGCTAGGCAGTGGGATACAATGGTCAGCTGACGAGGTTAGAAAGGACAAAGGTGAGAGGAGAGGGAGGTAAATTTGGAAAAGTAGACGGTAGCCAGATCATAAGAACCTTGTTGGAAATACGGGTATTTGGTGTTTTTATTCTAAGCAATGGAAAGCCACTAAAAAGGCTTTAGGCTGGAGAATGACTTCATCAGATTTACTTTTAGAATGTATCATCCCAGCTATTATGTGTAGACAGGATTGGGGACAGGGGAACTGAAATGAATGCCAAGCAAGACGCCTGTTGGGCTAATGCAGCGGACTAGATAAGCAACCGATGGGTGTAGGCAGCATAGCTTGCACAAAAGAAATGGCAAAAGAAATGAAGAAACAGAAGACAGACAGTTATGGGGAGCAAGGGAGGGGTGGAGTCAAGGATTCTCCTATGTTTCTAGGTTCTATCATTGGATAGTAATGCCATTGACCATGGGGTGGGAGGAGGGGCAAAAGGGCAGAATGGACTTCTGTTTGGGGCTTATTGAATTTGCAGTGTGGCTGAGATATCCAGGTGTTTTCAAATGTTGAGTAGACTTGACATTATATATACAGGTGTGGAGCTCAATGATAAGGGTTGGAAACATCAAATTAGCAGTCGTTAACATAGAGATAGTAATTAAAGTCGTAAGGGTCACACTGGCTGGTATGGGTCAGTGGACTGAGTGCCAGCCTGCAAACCAAAAGGTTGGTAGTTCGATTCCCAGTCAGGGTACGTGCCAGGGCTGTGGGCCAGGTCCCCACTTGGGGGCATGCGAGAGGCAAGTGTTTTTCTCTCATGCAATGATGTTTCTCTTCCTCTCTTTCTCCCTCCCTTATCCTCTAAAAATAAAATCTTAAAAAAAAAAAAAGTCGTGAGGATTTTAGGCCCTGGAACTGGTAAGCAACACAGAAAAGGATTCTTTTTTTTTTTTTGGTCCTTACATTCCAGTGATGAAGATGGATAATAAGGAATAAACAAGATAATTTTAGAAGGTGGTAAATTCTATGAAGAAAATAAACAGGCCAAGAGCATGGACTAGTTTAGGGTGAGGATGGGTGTGGGTGACTGCTATTTTTTGATAGGACATTCAGGTAAGACCTCACATTTCATCAGACTACACAAAGATGTAGGGAAAAGAGCATTCAGAAAAGGAAAAAAAATAAATCTAACAGTCTGGAAGTGGGCATGAGTGTGGTGGGATTAAGAAGGATTAACTAAGAGCTACTGTAAGGCTGAGGTCAGGAGTCAGAGGGATGGACAGCATGTGTGGGACTTGTGTGGGGTTCATGGACCACGATGTGGAGTTTGGACTTTTAACTGTCAGGAGGAACCACGGGAGGGTAGTGACATGAAGAAACAACAGTCTGAGGTGGGGTTACAGGAAAGATGGTCGACTGTCAGGAAGCTACTGCAGTTGTCCAGGTGGGCACACAAGGTGGTTGGACCCGGAAGTTGGCTGTAGTGGGACCTGAGAGATGCGGACCGTTTGTGGATGATGTTTGGTACAGAAGTGACAGGCTTCACAATGGACTAAATCAGGATGTGGAGCAGCTATGGGTTTGAATAACTGGGTGAGTAGAGGTGTCATGTACTGGGGTGGGAAAGACTGAGGAAGTAGATCTGACAAGGAAGGTGGAGAGGTTTGCCCATTAGAGTAAGAGATAGACAGGCAATTAGGTAGACCAGAAAGGTGAAGAGATCAGAAAGGCCAGGGTTGGAGCTGAATGAACTCATCTGGGGGTGGGGTGGGGAGGGCAACATGACCAGAAAACAAAATTCAGGATTGAGTCCAGGGTTTAGAGCTCAGTCAGAGGAAAGAGGAGAGTCAGAAAGGCCAGTGAGGTGGGCAGCACGGCCTAGAGTTTTAGCAGACAGCAAAGGAGGGCCTGGGTGTGAGCACTGATGAAACCCAACCTCTCGCGCTCAGAGGGAGAGGATGAAAGGGACTCAGGAAATAAAGGAACACGTTAGAGCACAGAAGGGCATCTAGGAGTTCTGGCATCAGGAGGCAAATGGTCATGTCCACTGGACTTGGGTCAGCTCTTCTAGGGAAATGACAGTGGCAGAAAACACATTGGAAGAGGTCCAGGAGGGAGAGGACTCTTCTCCAGGGGAAAAATAGGACAGTAGCTGGTGAGGCGGGCATTAGAACAGGAGCTCCCTAGTTTCTTACCATGGACTGGACTTGAGCGTGTTGACTGGCAGGGGCCCCAGCTGATCACAAAGAGAGGATGGCTAGTGGAGAGTTAACGGTACCCAAGTGGGCAGGAAGGGGAAGGAGCCCAAGCACTGGAGGAACCAGCACATGAATGGGAAGCACCTCTCTGTTTATGGTTGGGAAGTAGGAATCTGGGTGAATTTTTCTGATCCGGGCTGTATTCTCCACGTATCAGTGGACACAGAACATGTGCTGTGTATTCTCCAGGTCTCAATGCTGGTTGGTTACAGTACATTTATAGGAGCCCTATTTGCCCCGTAGTAGCCAGCGCCACTCCCCCACCCCCACCCGGGCAATGTTGCTTTTAGGTGCATTTTGGAAAATAGGGTTTTTCCAAAGTGGGAATTTTGTCATATGTCGGTGCCAACAGCAACCATATTATTGTAATTATGGGCTATAAAATCTAAACCAGCTTAGGAGAAAAGTGAGAAAAAGGAGAGGACTGATGGACTGGAAGAAAGGAAATATGCCAGTGTCCTGGAGTGGTTGATGAGGTCACCACAGACAAGGAAGAGTGGGAACCAGTTGGTTGGGAGGACAGGAGATGGAGAATGCTAGTTTAGATTCTGGAGAGGAGCAATTTTGGGTGAGTATGGGAGTGGGTGACTGAGGTGGTCTGCAGAATGAGCATAGGAGCATGGCTTTCAGCGTGGATTTCCTGTGTATACCCTAGTCACCTAAGAGAATGGCAGGGCATGCCCCTGAGGAAGGCTGAGTAAGATGCTAAAGTCTTAACCACTACCTTTAATTCTATAACTCATCCCTCCTTACCCATTGACGCATTTTTTAAAAGTCCAAAATCTTTGTTGACAAAGGTCTTCAGTTTCTGCAATGATTTCAATTAAAAAAAAAAAAGTTGCACTTGCGCCGTGGCAGGGTGGCTAAGTTGGTTGGAGCATTGTCCTGATGCACAAGGGTTGCAGGTTTGATCCCTGGTCAGGGCACATACACAAATCAACCAATGAAGGCATGGATAAGTGGAACAAGTTGATGTTTCTCTTGCCTGCCCCCACCCTCCTCCCCATCTCTAAAATCAATTAAAGAAAAATAGCGCTTGTAACAGACTGGCTCTCAAGGTGTTTCTGAAGGGTTCACCTCTTCTCACTAATGGTTTCCTAGTCTTTTTTGGAATACTATCTGGTTTTACCAGTGACTGACACACGTTTCAAATAAATGAGTGAATATACATGGCATGCTTAGAGCAGTGCCCAGCCTATAGTCATCAGCCAATCAATGTTACCTATTACTAGCTAACTAAATTTTTCTGAGCTGCAGTTTCCTCCTGAAATGGGTTATCTGCTCACACAACATTCTGAGAATGAAGTCAAACACAATACCTGGGAGTTAGCAAGTATTAGTTTCTCTCCCTTCCCCTGCTTTGCCATTGTAGATGTGTTATCGCATGTCTCAACAAGTTCTATTTTAGCAGCTAACAGTACAGCAGCAGCTGTTGAGGTGGGGACCACCTCCCCTTCAGGAGACGGCTCTACCGCTCCTTCCTCCTCGGCAGGCAGCGGGGTGCGTTCCAGGCAGGCAGGGAGCCCTGACGGCGGCGTCTTGGGCAGTGTCGCTGGTTCCTGTCTGAGGGACGCACACAGCCCTAGACAGGAGTCTTCTCTCTTCCTCCTCTAGGGCTCTCACTCCAAATGCAAATGAGGACGAAACAAAACAATAAAAGGCAGAAAGAAAATATCAATTTTCTTTTGAGACTTTGAAACCTGCACTGTGGCAGGCAGCAGGAGCAAGGAGCAGAAACCGCCACCAACGTGCCTACCAAAAACATACCAAGGCAAGACAAAGTGGAGGCCCAATTCAGGGGTTGGAGTTTGGCTAGCTTTTAGGTGTGGAGCAGGGAGAAAAAGAAGAGTAGAAAAGCTATAAATATTCAACAAACAAGCAAATTAAATTGGCAGAATAAAACAGGAAACCACAATAAATGCTTAGCAGCCAAACACATTTATTAGTCTTTTTTCTTTTTTTTTTTCCAGGAACCCAAAAATATTTTGTAGTTATAATGTAAGCAACTGAGTTGCACATAATACAATCATATCTTTCCAAAATAAAATAAAATAAAAAACTAAACAAAAACAAAAATAAGCTGTTTAAAAGCCCCCAAAAAACCCTTCAGAAAACTCTTATATATGCATTACATCATCTCTCAGTTTTAATGAAATGACGAAGACTTAATTCCTTATTACTCAACCTGTCACAATCCAATAAAACACCACCCTTTAGTTTTTTTTTGCTTTTGATTTTTTTTTTTTTTGAAATCCAGCATGAGAAATACAGTACCTGCTATGGCAAAAAATACACATAAAATGCAACTTTTCAGCTTATTTGTACATTAGTAGAGTTTAACATTTTATTGTTTGTTTTTTAAGTGAACCAGTGATTTTAAGTACCACTATACTAAAGTAAAATAAAATATAGAAAAGGGGGGCCCAGCCTGCCATGCAAGTGCACCTCTAAAGTGCCTAGTTTCTGTGTCCATGTAAAACCAGTAACATGAGGAGCAATTTCAACATATGGGAGTTTGATTAAACCTCTATGTTTAAGAAAAAAAAAAAAAGACAATGCCATATCCTTCCTTTTCTCTCCTCAAACTTCCTTAAATCACATCATCCACTTTCTCGATTGCCCACCGGAAGAGAGGAAAGAAAGCCACCAAAATAATATTGTAAAAGCTATTTCAAGTATAAGAAAAACAAAACACTTCTAGGTAACCTGCAGAGAGCATCAACGTTTGTGCAGCTATTCAGTCATGTTTATAGGTTTTGTTTCTGCTGACAGTGTTTCAGATGAGAGGATTTTTACTGTACCTTCCTGTTACCTGTTTGTGTGCAAAGCTGGAAAGCTGCCTTTTAAAACTCCAGCCTCTTTTTGATGTCCTTCTCTGCACCTTCTGTTCAAAGGGGGCGAGGAGAGAAGTGAAGAGAGGAGATTGGAGGAAGGGAGCGACATGTCACAAGCCACTGAAGTGGGCTCTCCATCCCTCCTCCTCTGCACCCCTCCAGTCCCCTCGCTGGTCTTGGTCTTGCTCACCGTCAGTGACTGACTCTCACTGCGGAGGTTCCGTTACTCAGTTTCCTGATTTGGTAGGATGTATTTTACTCTGTAAACATAGCCCCCTAGGATTATGGAACCCAAAGCAGCATTTACATCTCCATCTAAGTGGAGAAAGACAAAATAGTCCAGAAATCTCTCCTCAGGTTGTTTTTGTTGTCTGTTTTTGGTTCTCAAAACAGGGATGGGTTGGGGCGGGCACGGAACTTGAAGTTGTAAGCAAACAGTGGCGAGTTAGGAGCCGGCACAGCGGAGCTCTTGTGTCTGCCTTTTATTCCCCTCCCTCCCAGAAGGGTGATTTTTTTTTTTTAAACCTATTAAAAATGTTCCTGCACCTTAAGTCATACTGAGGTTAAGGCCAAGGGTGCAGAATCTTGTGCACGTGTCTCTGTGAGCACATTCGCGGTGCACGCACCATTTTTGATGTCTTCTGTGAGATCACTGGACACACTTTGGTCACTGGTATGTGTGCAAAGGGTGGTGGTGGGGGAGTGAGTGTCCCAGGAAAGAAGTACAGAGATCAACAAAGCCCTTTGGGAAGATCATAGAGGAATAAGGTCAGGAAGAACTTTTGAGGGATCAGAGGAAGGAAATGATAGTAAAGTAATCTCCAAACAAAAAATAAAATCCCGAGGTTGAGAGGGCCCAAATTAGAGGGTGGATGGTGAATATACGTGCATTTATAATCAAGCTTCTTCCCCTCAAAGGAAGTCGTCACTGTACAAGTAAAAACTAAAAAGGGCTTCTTGACAGATACCTGGGTTTAAGATGGGGGGGTGTGTTTGTGAAGAAGCTATTCAGAATGACCCACTCCGACCCTGCCTTGTAAGTGGCCAGCCAAATCTAGGAGAGCAGTAGCTGGCAGCCCTACAAGCAGCATTTGTTAAACTTTTGTCCCTCAACTTAATGTCAGCCAAGCCTCATAGAGGGGGAATGTCTGAGGGTGCACGGGCCTTTCAGGGTGGTGGTTTGCACATCTCAGATGAGCTGCCTTGTAAGAAGGAAATCAACACATCTTCAGCCTCTTGCAAAGTGATGAGGATGTGAATTCTATAGCATCGAACTGAAATGCCAGGGACTAGTTCCCTCTGTGAACTACAGAATGCTGCTACTGTTGTGTGTGGGAATCAAGAAAGGTTGAGAGCTCAAGGTCTCCCGTGGAAAACAATCCTGAACCCTGGAGGGGATGGATCTTCCCAAGAAGAGAAATTCAGACACTCCCCACCCTGGAGCTAGAAGGCTGGAACAGATGGCATCTATTCAAAACAGGCTCCAGACACTGGCCTGTCACTGTGAATGGGAGGCTGCAGCCCTGCCCACAATGCAAGTCCGTACCCTGGCCTGTTCTGCTTTCTCTTCTGAAACACGAAAGAATAAGATCTATAACTTCTGATGGCTTAAAAAGAGAGGGAAAAAAAATCATATTTTAGGGTTACTTTCACAGCAAAACAATTACAGAAGTTATCCTGCTATTTACATGTTCATATTTTCAAAAGGACAACCCACTTTTGTCAGCGGAGAGGGAGTCAAGGGCTACACTGCAGGGGAAATGTACCTCGAGGTATTATTTTGTGTTAGACAGTTGAAACGTCAGGATTTTAATTTTTTTTGTTGTTTTGTTTTTTGTCTAAAGGCAATCTAACAGATTGAAACCCTGATAAGATCGTGCCCGTGCAGCCCTGCCCGGGCACAAGGAGACTGCGGTCAAGTCTGTAACTTGTTACAGTACTGTGGACAACAACAAGAGCTGCTGCGTGGAAACACTGAACACAGGCAGAACGATCTCTTGCGTACGATACTGTGTGTCGCAAATAATGCCTAGACCAGAGCAATGCAGGTGCCACGATTCACCACAGGCAAGATCCACAAAGGAATTCTGTGAGGACAAAGAGAAGGCTGCAGTCTTTCCCGCGTCAAACACCTCACTGCTTGCTAGCTCTGCACAGCTTAATAAATGCCAGGGAAGCAGAGAGATCGCGTTTGGCCGAGGGGTAGTGGCTGGGGAAGAGAAGCCTTTTTTGCCTGCCAAGCAGCAGTCCCCTTCCCCTTGGAGCAAGACAGTTTCCTTATAATTAAATTCACTTAAAAGCAATTAAGAAGGAAGAATAAAACATTAAGAAGGAGTGAGGAGGAGGAGGTTTTTGAAGTTGACATAAAGATGAACTTTAAGGTCAGCACAAGTGAGGCATTGTTTCCTGAGCTTGAAAGGGTTCTGAATTCAGGAAAGGATGAGTACTTTTTCCCAGAGAACACAGGAGCCTGTGGGGTCCCCCTGCTGCACTGGGTTAACACTGCATGGCTAGGATGGAGGATCCTGTACCATCTTGGTTTTGCTGGGCCACCAGGCCTGCCAGCGACCATGGGAAGGACCCAGAGGTCTCTGCACCTCACTGCACTGACCTTACTGCTTCTTGCTCTCACTCCCCTTTCCCGCCAGGACATGGGATACCATGGACACAGAAACCATAGAACAAGATGCAAAGCTTCTTCCTTCCCCTTTCTGCCCTCTCCTCCCCCCCCTTTGCAGAATGCATAGTTACAATTCACGTTACAAAATAAAGAAGCAATGATGACCACATATGGGACCTATTTTTTTTTTGAAAAAAAGAAAAAAAATCCAACAACCTCTTCTTAAATTCAGTATCAAAATTCACATTTGCATAATAATACATTTCAAGGCCATTAGAGAGGAATGAGAGTGAAGCACGAGAGCGGCAGCATCTCTCCTCCCTTTGTCTTCCTGAATGAAGCTGAAGGAATCTTGCGGGAGGGACTGGTTTCCTCTTTGGGGAGTTCTGAGGAATTATGGAAATGGCCCTTAGCGTTCACTTGATATTTCTTTAGAAGATCAGGAGTGGGGAGAAGAGGTGGAATCGTTTAAAACAAACAAAAACAAATGAAAAGACACTGCAGGTTTCTATGTTTAACTATTAATAGTTCTGAAGAAATAAAATATGATTCCGAATTATTATCTTTTCTTTCTCAAACACTTCCATCTTATTCTCTCAAAAGCTTTTTCCTGGTGTGTATTACCCTGTTCGCATTAACAGCAAGTGAAGTGACTTCCAATTGGGAAACAATTGCCTTCTCAGGACACGGACTCTGAGGGTGGCAATGTGCTGCCCGCTCTGCACACAGAAGCTGGCAGACACCTTCTGGACATGCATAAATGTGTCACGAACATCACCATATTTCAGTTCTCCAGTGCTTACAGAAAAACAGAAAGCAAAACCACCACACGTGCACACACACATATACACGAAGAAACTAGGGAATGCAGATAGAGAATTCGACCTGCACTCTTGGACTAACCTGGGTCTCTGTCACCTGTGCACCGTCACCTCATTGCCCCCCTCTCCTAAGCCCCACAACTCTGCCACACAACTCTACATTGTGCAATACTGATGCTAATGAAAACGCAACAGCTGCCCCTGGAGACTGCCAGGAGAGACGCCGACTTCCCTAAAGACTAGGCTTGACCGCCTTTCTGTTTCACCCTAAAGGATGCTTCTTCCTAAAGCGGACGGTCTCTGTACTCACAAAGGCACATTCAGAAATACTACACTGAAGTAAGTAATTCCTTGGACAAAATTAAAAAGAGGGGGTAGAGGTGGTGTTTTAAACACATCTATTCTAACTTATCCCGAAATTTCTGGCAAGAAGAGTATGCTGAACGCACCACTCAGTGAGAAACTGTACTACCTTTAAAAGGTAAGTAACTTCTTAAACAGTTCCAAAGGTTTATGTTGCCTTGGTTTTGTATAAATACCCCCCTTTTTCATTTTTGGCGAACACATCGGGATGCCCATCTTCCTCTCCATGAAGCTCTCTGGGAAGGCTGGTGCTGGGGGGCCGCTGCACCTCCCCTCAGTTCGCCCCTTATGAGCCAGCCCTTTGAGAACTGCGAGCACCTTCCAGTAGCCCAAGGACAAGGACGGCCAATTTCAGTACGAGGTCCAAGAAAGCAGGGGAGGAGCAGGGAAAGAAAAGCACTTCCTTTCAGAACTCTGCTACAATATTGTAAGCTACTCTTACCGCTTGTCTTTTGCTGCTCACCGTTAACTATAAAAAGGAATTTCATTTTAAAAAAACAATCCCAACTTCTTAATGTTGCCTCAAAATGGTTAATTGGGATTTCCAAAGCAATGATTTTTAGTTTCAAATCAGAATTGAGGCATTCAGTGCTCTAGGGAAACACTTTCTTTTAAAATTTAAAACAGAACATCTCATCTTTATCTGACCTTTCCCCTCCCAGGATCAAAACAAGTCTTGGCAGAATGGAGAACCCAACGGCTGAGTCCTGTGGTGACCCTTTGACCACGGCAGTACTACTTTTCCTGTGTGCAGTTTCTCGTTTAGAACAAATTCAGGTGTAGAGCTACCTGAAAAGGGAACTACTGAAATTCTGTGAGGCAAGCGCTGGCAGTTTCGGTCACTTTTGATATTTCTGGTGGTGGCAGCAGGTCACCATAGGGATTGACACTTTAAAACCACTCAAATGTTAGAATACTTGGTAATTACTCCAGATCTAGTCCGAGCGACCACCCGCAGGGCAGCGCGGACGCCCTGCTGGTGGGGAGGGTGTCTCCTGACCCGCGCCCTTCTGCCGTCCTGGGGGTGCTCATGGCCTCTTTTCTTTGGCAGTGTGGGTAGGGAGGAGGCATTCTGAGCGGGGCAGGGAGGGCCAATGTTCGATTTTTAAGTTACTACAATGTTCACAGAGTTTGAAGTTGGTAATTATTTTGTATCTAAAGACTGTGACGCCAGCACCTCCTCTGTCAAACTGAAGGTCAAGAAACCACCACCATCAAATGGGGACCACCTGTGAAAACACACTCACCTTTGGCACTGGTCATAAGCCTATAGCCCATACTACAGGGTGTGCTCTAACTATGGAACTAAATGTAATAGTTTATGTTTTTTAATAGTTTGACAATGTCCTTGACAACATCATGGATATTTGCCTGTTTCTAAACTGTGTGGACACCCTGTACTTGCAGATAAGAAAACAGAGGGGGTGTGGCATTGGGTGCAGCAGAGGGAAAGGGCAAGAGCACCCTATATTGTCTAATGGTTGACAATTCACTGTATACACACAAGCTAGAATATTTTCATCTGCACCACTGCAAGCAGCCTTGTTGCTGTACACTCACAGGAGGGAAAACAAAGACTAAGGTTTCTTTCTGCAGTAACACTAAGAAGCGTAGTTAATGCATAGACATGAAGTGTGATGAAACTTGGCAAAAACACTGGAAAAGTCTGATTTAACCAGCTAAAAATGTATCTCTACTCCTAGCAAAAGACCTTATAGATAATTAAAACAAAAGAAAAAACCAAACCCCAAAAAGTAACCTACAAAGTGTCATATGTTAAATGTGAACTCTGAGGACGGTGAGGGGGGGCGGGGACCTTTTCTACATAAAGACTCGATTGTTCCCTAATCTTAGAGATGGCTGTTACAGCCAAGTCTGCTGAAAACATCCTGTTTACATTGCAAAGGAAAACAGGCTTGGCTTAAGCAGTTTGCTCAGCACACACACATCTTCATTCTATTTAAGAGTCAAGATGCCAGAATATAAAAAATAAAATTAAAAAGTACACAGCATCTGAGGTCGATAATGGAATCTGGCTGTTAACTCTACAAAAACTGTCACCTCTCCCCTAAAGTGCGGAGAAAGTGAAAGTGAATGTTTGCAACAAGTTAATAGCCTGTGAAATTTTAGTTCTGCTGGATGTATTAATAAAAGCTCTTCCAAATTCTTAGGAATTTCTTTTCCTTTTTTGTTGCCTATCTTATACACCACATTCAACCCACAGGAATTTGGAAGAACCAACTGCTAATTTATGCTACATTCATGTCAGAAGAGGTGGGTAAGTTCTTAGAACAGGAGTCATAGTAATAGAAAAATCAAACTGCTATAAATAAAACAAACTGAATGGCAGTCAATGGATTGTGTTGATCGTGGGGGACACTGATGAAAAGAATTTGGTTTGGAATCTTAGCTTGTAGTACTGCGAAGTTAACGTCTGTGAATGTTGTAAATGAAAAACATCAAGGGCTAGGGACTGAGGGATCAGAGATGCCACATCCACTTTTTCACAGTGTCTCGGAGATATGAACTAAAATTAGGTCATGGCACTGGATCTCAACTGCCAGTAGAGGTCCCCAGTCTGATGGAAGACATCCCTTCCCCTATGAGTGCTTCTTTTCTTTTGGCTACTCAAGTGGTAGAGAGAAACCAAGTTTGTGATGTTTGAGAGAAGGACACCTCCAGCCACTAGTAATCAAGTGTTTAAAGAAATAAAGGGACACTAGTAAAAATTGGAAAGCTCAAATTTACATGATCAGAAGGTTTATAAAAATCTATGTAATGAGAGGTGACCAGCAAGCCTCTGTACACATGCCAGAATGTGGTGGAAGAGAAGATGCTCCCACCCCATTTTCTAAGTGTTTTGAAGATACCTAACGTCTCAGCAGACATGGCTCTTGCCAAAGACTACCATGGAAAGGAGAGTTTTTCTCTTCCATTACATCTCACTATATCCTGTTCTTAGGTCACTGCCAACCAATAAAGTGAAGCTTCCAGCAAGTTGACCAAAAAAAGGGGCGGGGGAGGAGTAGGTGGGGAAGGGAGGAGACAAAGAAGGACAAGAAAAGAAAAATACGAACCCCTTTCTGTTGGCCCAACACGAAGAGACTGCCCAAATCGCTGCAGTTGCCACATTGCGCACCTGGAGAAGTCAATGCACAGTAACGGAGGGCAACAGTACAAGGAAGGATCTTGGCATTCCACGTTATCAAGACAAAAAAAGCACATTTAACTTCCTTGATTTGTTTATTTTAAATTTAGCCCACTGCCTCTGGGGCCTGTCCAGAACCACTCCAATTTCCCAAACGGGCAGGTGTCCTAATCTGTGTGGAGTGGCTGGACTACAGGCACATACACACGTGCTCCCCCTGCTGAGGACATCTGGGTGTATGTGCGAAGGCACTAAAGCGGTTTTAGAGAAATTGCAGGCAGCAACCCCACCCACTCCCTTTACCTGTTTGAGCGGGAGTTTCTTTCCCACTGGGAAGCTTAGATGTTTAAAAGAAGCTGTGGTCATGCTTAGGAATTCCGGCCCCAAGAGGGAAAACAAAAGGAGAATTCAACATTACCAAAAACTGAAAGGAAACACTCCACATCTCCGGCTGAGGGATGGGGACAATTAAGCAGCAGATCTTCAAAACAGCAATTAAAATGAGCACAACAGTAGCTGGGAGCGAAAAAATTAAAATCACTTGTTTCTTATTAGATTCTTCTATTATTTTCTCCTCCTGCCGTAACAAATGGAGGTAAGACAGACATTCTTCATTAATAGAACAGTCCATAGATATTTTTCCTCTAGTAATGCCTATATTTAAAATTTGTTCCAAAAATTATTAACCTATATTTCCTAACTCTTTACATAGATTCTCAGCAATCCAACTGCACTACGTTACAGGTTATGGTTACTTCTTTTTTTAAGCTGTTGTTTCTTTCTTTCATTGGTAGGGCTGGGGGACAAGGAGAAGGGTTCCTTTTAAAAAAATAAAATTAGTAGGGGAGATTTCAGTTCAGTCTTAAATGGAAAGGAACAAAGTGATGGAATTTCCATTTATATACACCAAACACTCTCCCATTAAATTACACACAATTTCAAATGAATCTGTGATAGAGCTCTGATAAAGCTCAATCCTTCTCCCGTATTTTTTAAGATAATGAATTTACCTGTTGCTGCTAAATTGATAATATTTAAAAAATATTTCTTTCTACATGTTTTAAAGTGTGTGATCCCCAGTATGACAATAATGTTTGGAGACTATTCTTTTTACATTTTTTAAGTAAAAATTGTTTAAGCTTTTTGAAGTTTCAGGAACTTGTAAAAGTTTATTAACAGGAAAGAAACAGCCATCTATCTAGGATAAGATACGGTTAAATAAACCATCTTCAAAAAACTGGCTTCCTACCCTAGAATTCCTGAGAATGCTTGCAAATTTTAAAGCAGGAAAATAAATGTTAAAAACAAAAAACAGAAAACACTGTTAAATGCTCCCAGAGTTAGTCTTCATCTAAAATATATATTTATATGTATGCGTGTGTGTGTGTGTGTGTGTGTACACACACACACACACACACACACACACACGCACTTTTTGGTCTTTTTTAAAAGTTTTTAATTTTTTTCCCTTTAAGCTTATGATGGAAGAACATTTTAGCTTCTCATGTTTATTTTTACATATTCAAATCCCTCATTATGTCTTGTAAACAAGAGGGGCTCTAGCACCCGGCTTTCACCGTAGTATGGTAAGGAACTCAACTAACCCATAGTGCAGGTCAAGGAACCAAGAGGCAAGAAGGGTGGAGGCTGGGGAAGGACATGGCAGGAAACCAAGAGCGGCAGGGTCACTCCTGGCTCTCAGGAGCCTTGGGACATGCTCCTAGCCCAGAGACACTAAGGTTGAGCTTTCTGTAGATGTCTGAACACAGCTGCTCTTCACCTGGAGGGCACCACATGACAGCATTTTGCTCTACTGAGAGAGCAGTCAATGGGGGCTGGGAGGAGAGACACTGTGTATGTGGGCAGAGGTGGAAGGGGCATGGTGGTGATGAAAACCGGAGAGCAGGAAGAGGGCACAGTTAGTTTTCTACAAGGCATCCAATGGGACCAAACCAACGCTGGAAACTCAAGTCTGACCACCTACCCACGAAGGGTTCATAAAGACTTGTATAAGTGAATGCTCACTTGAATTATGCATGTCAATCTCTTTTGAAGCTAGGCTTATAATCAACAGGGTAAGCCGAGTGGACTACAGAATTCCCATTCTTTGTCTCACGAAACCACTTAAATGCTTTTTTGCCTTTTCCTATACACACCCACCCACCCACCCACCTACACACAGACACAAGCTAAAAGTCAAATACATTAGGCATTGTTGTATCCTTCACTGAAGATGCTAAATTAGAAAGAAAATCTCTTTTGTCCTCACTAGCAGCAAGTTATGGAGGACAGTAGAGGTCCGCTCCCACCGAGGGTTGGAATGGGCAGGTATTTGCTGGTACAGAATGTCGGCACTTTATGTTAAACAGTATAATGCAGATTGGGATGTCCACACAAGTGCTAGCACGTTACCGGCGTAATGTCCCCTCCCCCCACCCCGCCCACCATCTGCTCTGTATAAAGGGGTACCCCCTTCAGGGCTGCTGTAACTCTCTTCACAAAAAGCAGTTTGATACATTTTGATTCCAACATAAGTACATACACGTTGGTGATAACTGTGGATTAAAAGTTGCCTCCTATTCGGCCCAGAGTACTACTACATTGATGCTTAAAAAAAGTCTTTAAATATTGAAATAAAAAAAGCAACATTACAAGGAAAAAAAAAAAGAGGTCAAAACCAAAAAAAGGTGCAATATTTAAGTCTTTGCTAAGTTATACCTGCCTAAGCAAAACCACGTACACAGGAAATACACAACACAGAGAAACAAAAGGAAACGCTTGAAGTACACACTGGTTTAAGAACATTCGTTAAGTAAACGTTTCTGTCAGTGATGGCCTGGTGCTGTAACACGCCACGGCCTGGCACAGGTAACGCTCAGCAAGAAAGGAGCAGAGAGGGAGGAGCTGCGGATGCTTTCAGGAGGCTGCTCACAACTTACTTTTTTTTCTTTTCATAAAATGAAAAAGAGAACAAATAGAAATAATTGAATTCAGCATTACCTGACTTTCTGATGAATTTCTCATACCCAATTACACACGGAAGGGGGAACACAGTTTTTCTGCTTTGGAGACATCACATAATTAAAAACTATCTCACCATCTGTTCCCATCCAAAGTAATGAAAGGCCTGCATAAAACTTAACAGGTATTCAGATATGCCTAGTGGCCACTTATTTTAGAAAACAGAAATAAATGAACACATAGTTGCTCCAAGAGGTACCTCCTACTCTCCTAATATTTTGGACTTGGCAGTGCTCCACTCTACTGCTAGGTCAAGAGAAAAGCTAGAGAAAACTCACACTCAGGCTAATCTGCAGATGTGAAGGAGCTCCCTGCTTTCATCATTAAAAAGCATTCTGTTCACCTTAATGCAGCCCAAAGGAGTTGCTTTAGTAGCAGTGGCTCCCCGGGCTTGTGTGTTCTCGTAGTTAAAAAAAATACTAATAAAAGTAAAAAGCAGATGGCCGGCCAGCCAGCCTGCGGACCGTCAGCAATGCAGCTTTCTGAGAATCAGGGTCAGGGAGGAGGAGGCAGAGGCAGAGGAGGACACAGGCGGACATACACACAGAGACAGAGAGAAGGATGCACGCGGATGCACATGAACACACGTGCACACACATACCAGAACGAGCATGCCTGGGCAGTTACATGTGCCAGAACACACTGGTATTTATCAACCAGCCAATCACAAATTTTTTCCTTTTTTTTTTTAGGTTTTTTATATTTTTGTTTTTAAAGTGAGGCTCCGTCAAGTCTTCCCTCCCCCCACCCCAACAATTCTTTTGAATTCCCCTCCCTCCCAAACATGGTAGACCTAAGGACGGAAACACACCCAGTGCAAACAAAGTTAAAAAGCTATTTTTTTCAGTATATATGTTTCTTAGCAACAACTTCCATATAACATGAAAAAAGTGAAAAACTAGAAACTAATTTTTTTAATTTTTTTGTGTTTAAATTTAAATGGTATGTGTACTTGCTTCACATTGTCTTTCTAGGTTGGCGTTCATGATTCAAGTATTTCAAGAGTGATATGTTCTCTTTTTGGATTCATATTCCAAACGAAAAAACTGAAGATATAAGGGAGGCAACTATGTGCTCAGACAGTCTGTCAATGACCCACCTTTTTTTCTCTCTCCGTTTTCTTTTTTCCTTTTAAAAATGTATTTATTGCAAGTTGAAAAAAAAAACGAAAAGGTCAAGTTAGTGCTGCTGCTGTTCCAAAAAAGGTAACGAGGTCAGAGTTGAAAGTTCTAAGTTCAGATTGAATCCGACCCTCCTCCCAGAAGGTCACCAGGTAGTAAAGGAGCAGGGCTGCCCATCCTATGGGGATCTTCCACAGTTGGGACTCCCCACAAGCTAGAAGAATAGTTTGGGGGCCCCCACAACGAAGCGCCAGCAAGATCGGCCCCACTGCTGCCGCCAGCACTGCTGCTCCACTGCCCGAGCCCTGTGGACCCACCGAAAAGATTCAGAGCAGGCCCAACAGGATCTGACTGGGTCTGGCCGGTCTCCAGCGACTGCCAACCTGCTGTGGGCGCACTCGGGGTTGCTGCAGGTGTAGGGGGCTGAGCTTGTGCCAGAAAGCGGCTAACTTCATCATCGGTGGCAAACTCAGCCAGGATGGTAGTGTTTCCCAACACACACCTGGAAAAAAGGGGAGGGAAGAACTATGGATTTGAGGAGAACACTAAGGCACACATAGGGACTATTTTGAATTCTTGTTATTCCAAGTGCAGTCCTTTGACTGGAAACTTCCACATCCCCGGATGCTTTCTAAAATGCAGACCCACAGCATCAGAACCGGCATTTTAACCAGGCTGCCAGGTACTGATTTAAAGTAATATAATAGATATCCAAGGACTACTGCAGGATACTATAGATCGATATCCCTTGGTATGTGAAATATGTATGTCAAGAATAATGCCATCCTTTTTCCTTTTCCCTATGGGAGGTACAAGATCACACATCAAGCATCAAGGTGACCCAATTTCAGACAACTGGAAATCCGTCTCAGGGGCAGGCTCACTGCCTAAGCCACACCATTCACTTGCTTGTTCTGTGTGTAGCTATTTATCGTGGCAGCTGCAGCCACAAGGAGTCAGGCCTCTCCTGTCCACCAGTTTGAGAGTAGCAGGGAGGGGGATGGCCAAAGTCTGACCCAGTTCCGCCTACTTCATGCAAAACCCCTGCTATCTCCCAAGGCCACAATATTTCATCATAACCCATAAAGAAGCCAAAGTAAACAGTTAGATACTGTTATGAAAAGTGACAGTAATTATGGCTTCACATTTTCATAAATACTGGCTTTGTTTTATGGTACTCAGAAATTTATTCACTACTTCACAAATTCTTCACTTGTAGAATTCTGATTATCAGCCTACGATATACAAAGGACAATCCATGCTTACTTAGGCAGGTAAAGATCAGCCACTTCAGTACCAAACAATTGCTTATGTGACGATGTCATTTTGGGCCTGTTCTCATGCATCTCTGTTTAATTAAGCAGGTGCTAGAAGACTCACATGTGCATCTTCATGCATGTTTGGCTCAGTGAGCATAGGATGGATACTCACATGTGCAGTGCAGTCTGGGCCTTGGCCGCCTCCTGTTTGGTGCTGTATCGGATCAGGGCGGTGCCCTGAGTTAGGTTCAGATGGAATGTCAGCAGTGGGCCATGCTGCATGCAGATGGTTCTCAAGGTTGACCCATCAATCTAAGGAGTAATACATTTGTAAGATAAAAACTGAAAGTGGGGTATGAAAGAATGTCAAGTGACCTTTCTTACATATTAGAATAAGAAGGGCTTCTGGGTTGTAAACAATAGCACAGTATCAATACTAAATAAGACTTGGATGGATGAATGAAGAAGTCAAAGCAAGGAAAGAGTGCACTGAATAGACAGGTCTTAAAGGGAAATTTAAAGATATTCAAAGCACTGGGTTGGGAATCTATCGTGTCCATTTTGCAAATAAAAATATTTGTACAAATGCAGCTCAAAACAAAAGCATATAATTCAACCTGTGGTCTATATTCTTTAACAGGCAAACAAGAGAACATGAAGTAATTTGTAGAGCTTTAAAAAGCAGAAATTGGCTAGTACCCAAGTAGGAGTTTAAGAAAACATGTAAAGTTCTCAGCATCATTACTAATGTGTTCTTCCACCTCCCCAAGTTAAAAACTGCACAACGAGAGAAAAGCCACAAATAAGAAAAGCACGGATAACCATCTGGCGATAAAGAGTGTTGACGGCTGCCCCAGCTCAGGCTATTCTGAGTCCTCTTACTCCTACTGTGGCCATCTCAAGGTCAGAGTATTTCTCCCCACTTCTCTGTCATCTGCTGCCTGCAGCCAATGGACCAAAGGCTGTAGTTGCTCACCTTAGTCATACTCTGACCACTAAGATGTCCAGTGATTGTGGATAGCTGCCCTCACCTATGACTCAAATGAAAAAATCTATTTATTCACTCTGATCAATTTATTTGTATCAAAATCTTAACGACATTTATTTAAGCTGCTTAGTCCAACATTTCAGTTCATTTCTTTGGATGTGAAACAGATTACTATTGGAATAACCTTCAAAAGCTGTGCTACTGGCGGCGGCAGTGGAAACATTCTGTGGCTTCACCGTAGAAACCTGCAGGACCAAACTGGAGGTTTCACTACAGTTCTTCATAGAAAATGACTGGAGAAACAGTTCTGAGTGTTGTTTTTAAAGTGACAGTTGACTATAGGCATATCAGTGTATGCCACTAGAGACTTTCCAGGATAGGTATCTTCTAAATAAATTTTAGGTGATAAAAAGTAAATTTATCCAAGTACCAAAAATTTGACCTTGTAACTGGCTTATAAATGACAACTGAGATTAGTCTATTAGGTAGTGAATTGTTTAAAAAAAATTAATTCTTTCTATATTTGAATATAGGTACAGCCAATACCTATATTCATTTTATATACATATACAGGTGTACTTACTATTTTTCACATTCTAAAACAAAAGTGAACAGCTGGTTAACTTGCCCAGGCATGTTTTGACACTATGTATCCCCTTTCTCATCCTAACCACATTAGACCCACCACAATGTGTGACTACTTAGAAGGAGTGAGGTAGATACAGTTTTGAGGACGGTTGTATAAAATCTTCATGCTTCAGTCAACTATTAGTTAAATAACCTCGGGCTTTTAGCTGAGTTATTATATACAGGGATTAAAAGCCAGGCCAGACTCTTCCTCATATTAACTGTATTAGGAAACTGCCTTTCTCAACATGTTCCATGAAATATTAAGCCCTGGGTGTACTCCCCACATACGGGTTCACAGGGCAAATAAATTTAGAAGAAGCTGTATTTCCCCACAGAGGGTTATAGTACATGTTAGCATATTAAAGGATCTAAGAAGTCTCATAGTGAAGAAACCTGCTTAATTTTATTTAATCAAGTATATAATCTAAACATGTTAGGGCAGACGCCTACTAATATATCCCATGGGAACAACTATGGAAAGTGCTAGCTGAGTACAGTGTACACGAATCTATTTATGAATTAAATGCTAGACAAATCATACTGTGTGTCAAAGGCAGGGAGGCATAATTGACCCCTTTTAACAAGGTGTTGTACAGTTGTGCTGTCAAGTCCAAATGAAGGTTATGGGTTCAGTTTAATGGGTTCATTTAGCCTCATCTGAATGCTCAAGCTAATGCTGCTGCAAATACTTCAGTTGTCAAGCAACCAATGCAAAGGAGAGGGAGCTTTGGTACAAATGAAGTTCCACCACAGTACAAACAACCTAGGAGGTATGTTCTGATGATGGAAATTAGTAACACCATCTACATAAAAGATAGTAACAGAGAAAGCATCCCAAGTACCCATGGGGCATTTAAGCTGTGAGAGAGATACATCCCTTCTGCAAAGAGAGATGGCTAATTATTTATGAAGCAGAAAAAAAAAGTTTATATTGAGCCTCAAGTCTTGGATACCTAACACAGAAAACAGGTGACCTTTTTTGCACATGATTAGAGCACTAAACATCCATTTCCCACTAGTTCTAGATTCTTACAGGTAGATTTACATAGCAAGTTATCTCTGCAAAACAGAACTCACCAGGTAATACTGCCCCACTCTCACTTTCTTATAAACTACACGTTAACATCACCACAAAGGAAGGCACGAAGCTGAGTGGCCAACACCCACCCCGTTCAGCAGCCCGCTTCGAACCTTGGGTGGGGAGACCCACCCCTGCAGGCTGGACCTCTTTGCAGTGACCAGAAAATACCTGAGCTTTTGCATATGCCTACAGCTCCAAGTTTCTCTCTCTCAACACAATTAAGTCTTACCAAGAAAGTCACAAGAACGCACGATTACCTGTGGAGTGAGATTGTGAAGGACCAGCCAGTAACTAGGACGAACTGAACCACCATCACTCCAGGTAGAGGCTGTGAGCAACCAGACAGAAGAGCAGAAAGAGCCATCAAAAATTTTAAAAAGAGGCATAAGTGAGAAACATTTTCATATAGCACACATGCTTCTTCTCTCCTTTTATAAATCATTCTTTCTCCACCTCACTCTGACCATTACATTGTCACTGAACAGCCAGCCTCCCCTCCTAGACCCGGCTGCCTATGCACTCTTATGCCTTCTCTCCAACATCTTCCTCCTTGTGCTCTCACTTGGCTGTCTGTCATTTGACTCCATCAGTACCTGTGCCTTGGGAGTTCTTGGGTCCATTTGCCTTACACTGCCTGCAATTTTCTACTCAGGAGATATTTTTTCCTCTACCAGCCAACTGTCATTTTCTCTCTTGTGAAGACTTTATGTCTTCACCATTTGTGTTAACGTAAGAACCCTGTGTTTGGGCAATGATGCTCCTTCAGGCAGATCACTCTCACCTGAGGCAAGCCGTGAGTCCTGTGTCCCCCATCCCCTAACTGATCGGGGCGCTGTGCTGCTCCAGGGAGATGACGGTTTGGGGTTGGTCAGACCAGGAGGTGGGCGGGGCAGCGGTGTAGTGTTCCTTGAGGAAATATGGTTTTTCCACATCTTGTTGGAGAGATGAGTGGGATTGTGTCCTATGGGATCTGGGGACCATGTTGATTTATAATCAGGGAACTTTGCTATAAGACAATTGAGGAAGGAATAAGGTTAGATAGGCCACTCTTGTCACCAAATACACAGAAATTGAGCACACACACACATTTAAATTAAAAAAATAGTAAGTTAACATTACAGGATAATATTGTCCTTTGAGCTTATTAAATATAAAATTTTCAATGACTATTATGCTGAATTAACCAATTAACAAATGGACTGAAGATTTAATAAGATAACTAATTCTCATAGCAACAAGAAACATAAAGCACCTAGGAATAAACTTAGCGAAGGAGGTAAAAGACTTGTACTCAGAAAATTACACAACACTGAAGGAAGATATTAAGGAAGATACAAATAAATGGAAGCACATTCTGTGTTCATGGATTGGAAGAATTATCATCAAAATGTCCATACTACCCAAAGAGATTTATAGATTCAACGTAATCCCTATTAAAACACTAATGATGTATTTCACAAATATAGAACATTTAAAAAATTTGTATGGAACCATAAACAACCCTGAATAGCTGCAGCAATTTTGAGAAAGAACCACCAAGTAGGAGAGATCACAATATCTGACATCAAACTATATTACAAGGCCACTGTAATCAAAACAGTCTTGTACTGGCATAAGAACAGACACATAGATCAATGGAACAGAATAGAGAGCCTAGAAATAAACCCATGTCTCTATGGTCAATTAATATTTGACAAAGGTGACAGAAGCTTAAAATGGAGTAAAAATAGCCTTTTCAACAAATGGTGTTGGGAGAGCTGGACAGCTACATGCAAAAAATTGAAATTTGACCACAACTTACACCATACACAAAAATAAACTCAAGATGGATAAAAGATTTAAATATAAGTCACAAAACCGTAAGAGTCCTAGAGGAGTACATAGGCAGGAAACTCTCAGATATTCCATACAGCAATATTTTCACTGTATGTCCCCTAGAGCAATGGACATAAAGTAAATAATAAAATGCGACTTCATCAAAATAAGCAGCTTCTGCATAGCTAAAAAAAACTTCAGCAAAATGAAAAGAGAAACAACCATATGAGAAAATATATTTGTCAATGATACCTCGGACAAAGGTTTGGTCTCCGAAATATGTGAAGAACTCACACAAATTCACTCCAGGAAGACAAACAATCCAATTAGAAATTGGGCAAAGGACCTGAAGAGACATTTCTCCATGGAGGACATACACAGGTCCCAGAGACATAAGAAAAGATGTTCAGCATCACTAGCCATCAGAGAAATGTAAATTAAAACCACAATGAGATATTACTTCACACCGGTCAGAATGGCCATCATAAACAAATCAACAAACAACAAGGCCTGGTGAGGTTGTGGAGAAAAGGGAACCCTAGTACACTGTTGATGGGAATGCAGGCTGGTACAGCTGCTGTGGACAACAGTTTGGAATTTCCTCAAATAGCTAAAAATGGAACTGCCTTTTGACCCAGCAATTCACTGCTGGGATTATACACTAAGAATCCTGAAACACCAATTCAAAAGAACCTACGAACCCCAATGTTCACAGCAGCACCATTTACAATAGCCAAGTGCTGGAAGCAACCTAAGTGCCCATCAATAAATGAGTGGATCAAAAAACTATGGTACATTTACACAATGGAATACTACACAGTAGAAAGAAAGAAGGAGCTACTGCCCTTTGAGATAGCATGGATGGAGCTGGAGAGCGTTATGCTAAGCGAAATAAACCAGGGGGTGAAAGACCATATGATCTCACCTATAAGTGGAACCTAATCAACAAAACAAACAAGCAAGAAAAATATAGCCAGCAATACTGAAAGAAAAAACACACCAACAGTAAAGAGAGGAAAGGAGGGAGGATGGTAATGGGGAAAAGAAGGGGAAGGGTCAGAAAAAAAAAGATAACTAATTTTCTACTGCATTCTTAGCTAAACACAACCCAAAACGGAAGATTAATTCAAGGAAAGTATTCCTGAAGTTGTTAGTCTTAAAGATATAGAATGTGAAACCAAGTGGACATTCTATAAATACTGTCAACTTAATGAAAAGTACATTAGAAAATTATACTTTTCTTGATCTCGAATATAAGATATCAACATCCAAACATTTTAAAAACACAGTCAACATATATTCACCAAGGGCTTATTATGCTTTAAGGTGCTACATCAGTGTGTGGGTAATAGAAACAGCTATTCTCAATAACTTCAAGTTCAGATGGGAAAGAACAGATGAACAACATAATTGGTAACCCGAGGTAAGATCATACATGTTCAACACACAGAGAAAAGATGATGCTGGGCTGTCAGCAAAGGGTTTGCAAAGACAGACCTTGAAGGATTTACATAAATAGATGGACTCAGAGAGCCTGGAAAATATAAACCAAGTTCAATTTAAACACTTTTTAAAAACTGTTCAAATAAACATTTGTCTCCATTTCCCCATCACCACTTTCCCCTGCCCCACCCACCACCACCTTCCACCCTCAGTCCTTCCCCACTTTGGCTTTGCCCAGGGGCCCTTTATACGTGTTCCTTGACTTGACCCTTCCCCTTCTTTTCCCGTTATGCCCCTCCCTCCTCCCCTCTGGCTGCTGTTGGTTTGTTTTTTCTTTCAATATTGCTGGCTATATTTTTCTTGCTTGTTTGTTTTGTTGATTAGATTCCACTTATAAGTGAGATTATATGGTATTTGTCTTTTACCCCCTGGCTTATTTCGCTTAGCACAATGCTCTCCGGCTCCATCTATGCTGTCGCAAAGGGTAGTAGCTCCTTCTTTCTGCTGCATAGTATTCCATAGTGTAATTTAAACACTTTCTGTACCAAATATTTTTCCCCCAATTGTGGCTGAACAACATTTCATAGCAGCAGAGAGGTAAAGGAAGCTATGAAGGTAGGCTGGGGACTGATTAGAACACTATCAGGGTATTTTACAGTAGATTCAGCATGTAGTGTTTAAGGGTAGGATCTAAAACCAGGGTGAAGGCAAACAGAATGAAACAAAAGACATGGGTAGGAGGGAAACGACGACAGACTAAACCAGCTGGAGCAAGGGAGAAATGAAAGAGCAGGAAAATACCGAGATTTTGCGACTTAGTGATACGTGGGAGCATCACCGAGAATAATACAGAGTTTAGGTAAAAGGAAAGATAATTTTGGCAGTGGGAAAATATATGTTCCATTTTAGACATATCTGGGGTGATTCTTGGGTCATCTCTCAGGTGAATATCCAATTGTAGACAAAAAAATAAAACAGTTCAACTTGAGATATGGGCAGTAATAAGAAGAAAGAGGTGAAAATGAGTTTTACATATAAAGGAAGAAGCCCTACAGAAACTACAATCTAAGGGTGGTGGTTAGAAACACGAAACACTGAGTTGGCTCCCTTACACACTCATTCAGACCTGAGGCAAATTATATCATCTTACTGAACTTCAGTTTCTTCATCTACAAAATGGGGACAACACCAGGACCTCTCCACAGACTTTGGTGAAGGTAAGAGTTCATGCCGAAGTGCCTAGCATGCTGCTTGGTTTGCAAGAGCATTCAATAAATGACAGGATATCATTGCACTGTTGATATGACAGAGGTGTAAAGAAAAAAATAGAAGACAATTTATAAGGCCATTAACCTGCAGTGTCTTGGCAGGTAGTTAAGGATTTGTTTTATTTACTTTTGCCTAGACAAAGAACAGAAGCCTTAATAACTTTAATGGTTTCAAGTACAACTTTTACAAGACCAATGTGTCAATTACTAATGATTTGTTTACCCATATATAAGGGATTATGTTAAGCGAATGACTTCAAAGGCCCCATTATATCCATTAACTTTTCCATTCCCTATTGTCTTCCCCCAAACCCCCACAAAACAACACAGCAAAACAATAAGGAACTCAACAAATGTTGGTTGAGTTCATCAAGGCCCCCTTTATTCTCCTTGGCCAACGGACCTTAACCTTTGTCTGTAAGAGGAAGGGTTTTAGAGAAAAGCCTCAAGAGTAAGCCGGACTTAACTGGTTGTCCCATGGCCCTGGATTCTCTTGGCAGATTGGTTAAAAGAAAAGCACTGTGCTGCTACAATAGAACCTCTGCCTTCGCAAGACCCACAGCTCCCTGCGATTATGCCACTCTGCCTTGTCCTAAAGCTGTATGTGTCTCATCTTGCCTCTCTTAGACGACAAGCTCCTTGAGGCCTCGGCAATACAAGAGTTGTGTCTCCAGAAGTATTTTTTAAAGAAATAAACGCTAATTTCCTTTGTAAAAGGGAATCTGAAAAGTGCTAAACAAAAGGACAAAAATAGGTCACACTCCTACCTGAAGTGCTATGAACGTTGGTAAAGGAGTTGTCAGAGGCACTGTAGGGCCAGGCACCAGGTGAAGGCAGCGAGGTGTTGAGGGAAGAATTAGACCCTTTGAGTGACAGATGAAGAACAAGATAAAAAAATTGCAGAAATATGTCAGTATAACAAGTGAAATCTGTAAGTATTTTATTTAACCTTCAGCAGAACAGAGAACAAAATATATCTAAAAATAAATGTGAAAAGCTTTATGTTTTTATGTTTGCTTGTTAAATTATTTAATAGCAAGTATATATGCAAGGGATGTTTGACTTATTTACCTGTGGTGTTATCCCGCAGAAGTTGGTGGTCAGTATCTACAATAGGAGATGTGGCTGTACCCCCCAGCACACTTCCTGGGGTGACATAGGGATCAGATTCAGGGTCAATGTTTTGGATACCTTTCCACGGCACTCCTGGTTGGAATTCTGAGAGAAGAACAAATATGAGAGGTAAGAATTTGTTAAAAAGATGGTAAAATAGTTACTTTTGATATAAGAAATAAATCTATTTCATTTTAGATTTTAATAATAAAAATTAAAAAAAAAGGTCTGTCTGAACATGTACTCTGTCAGCAGCGCCTGTGTGCTATCACAACACGCCAGCCTTCCCTGTCTCCCTGCGGTTGTGAGCCTGATGCCAGAGCTCATTGGTGTCTGGCCCCAGAACCTGCTCTTCCTGCTCCCTGGGAACTTCAGGCCCAGGGCAGGGAAGCAGGATTAAGTAGTCTGGTGCTCATGAGGACTGGTCAGGCATCTAGGACTAGAACTGGGAGAAAATCTAGGTTGGAGATCATTAACTTCTTCCATTTATCTCGCCAGAAATTGGCTCAGACACACAAAAGAAAACACAATACAAATGACCACTACTGTGTGGACTGTGCAGGGTCGACTGACAGGAATAATTTGGCTAATGAGAAAGCCTGGAAAACGTATAAATAAGTGTTTACAATATTTTATTGGTTAATTTAAATAATATTTAAAGCTATATGATAGTATTAATAAACTTTTATTTTTCTAATCATGGTCAGGAAAAGTAATATGCATTATATATGAACAACAGGCATTATATGAGCCCATTTTAATAAAACGAAACTCTACATGTTTATATCACAAATATATCTGTACAAAACGAGGTTTTAGAAGGACATACACTAAATTAATTTTTATATTAACCACATTAAATTTTTTTCTACAATGAAAATAGGTTATTTGTATCAAAACAGAGAAAAAGAAAAAAAGTAACAAATTTGCTCATTGTATTTACTACTGCAAACCTATAACCTAACTGATAATAAATACATGCTTCAAAAATTAAACAAACCAATTCAATGGACATGTCAGAAGGACCCAGGGTACAAGGCACCCTACGATGGATGTATGCCAAGTCCCAAGCTCCAATTTCACCTTTTCATTCCCACATTTCCCTCCTCTGACTTCCTTCAGCTTATCCAAGTCCGCGCAGTATTTACCACACAGTAACGCCCCTTGTAGGCGACCAGTGTCAAAACTTTCTTCTCCTAACTGAATACTACAAAGCAGACCTTGTCTAATGAAAATTTTCTATCTTCCCACAGCATAGCACATGCCTTGTTTTCATCAGGCAATAATTACTAAATGAAGAAAAAAAAAATCAAAGTGGGTGTTTTGGTAACGTGGGTGGCAAAAACAATCTGTTCAGAACCTAAAAATAAAAATTAAAAAACAAATGATATCCCAGAAAAAACACTTGCTGGACAATACCTGGAGGCCAACTGGCATTGCTGGATTTACTTCCGATTTTATTTGTTGGTGGAGATTTGGCAGGTAACCAGCTATCACCAGCAGGACCCGTATGGCCACCCAGTGTGTCACCCGGGATTATATCAAACTGGTTGTATGGTGACCCTCCTCGGGTCTTCCCAGGGGCCACTATAGCGCCTGACAAGAGAGAGAGAAGAAATTAATTTGCACTTGGAAAGGACTCCTGTGAACAGAACCTGTCAATCTTTCATTTAGAGAAGCTCAAACACACACTATTCTGAAGCTTAGCGGTAGGAAGGGCACCACAGTAAGAGGACACACTCGAGACCCATTATGTAATTGATAAGCGGGATGATCATGAGCAATTCATCTCACCTTTCTGAGCCTTTCAGTTCCTCACTCATGCACACAGCACTGTTTTCATTCCTGAATGTTCCAAATTCCATGGTCTAACTAAACTCTCATAAACTACGAATCATACCATTGTCCCCACAGTCTGGATACTAATGACTTGAGACAATATAAATGGAGGGAAGTCCACTGCAGAGAAAAGCATCTGCAATTGCTTTAAATTCCAAAGCAATGAGATGGAATTCTTGCCTGGGGTCTTTGCCAGCACAAGACCAGCTGTGAACTCTGCAGCTCCGAGGCCCATGGCCCCACACACGAACAGCAAATCCTTTGTAACTGCTTTCCCGAGAGGATTTTAGTGGTTTTGTCAGTGCCCCCTTCATGCATCTTATATGCCATGAGGCAGGAAAGAAATTAAAAGCTTGAAATTCCCATAAACTAACAAAAAATGAGCTTTACTTTAAATAAAATTTTTGGCCTCTGTGAGATACACTTCTATCTATTTCCCAAACAAATTTTACATGCTGTATGTGTCGCTTGAGCTATTCTTAGCATCCTATTTATTGAACTGATACAATTATTTCCAAGGTAATATATTAAAATACTTGTATAAATATTGATTACAAGAATCTCTTTAGTTTGGTCTAGCAGGAGTATCATCAAAACTATCTCCATGCTCAGTTAAGAGGTCACTGATTTTCTGGAGCCTCTGAAAGAAATGCGATTCAGGAGCACATTACAGTGAAGCAGTAGGATATGGAAAGTTGAGCTCCCTTGGGGATTGCAAAGGAAATGGGGAAAATATCTGTAAGCTCTAAAAAGGCAAGTGACTACGTTACTTTCAAGATATACTCTCACATGCCACTTAGCAGTTATTGCTATGCACCTACCATGCCTTTGGGAAAGGAAGCAGTGTAAGTGCTTGAAGCTGTAAAAGTTGGGCTTGGATTATTTAGTTCACAGATAGATTTTATACTACGTACAAATTTTTCTTGATTTTGTGGCACAAAAACGATGATGTTTTGGGATATAGCAGAGAGAACTCCAAGTGGCCACTTTCGCAGCCTCAGGATGGGCACATTTTAAAGAGTGGCTTATAGCCCTGGCTGGATAGCTCAGTTCGTTGGAGCAATGTCCCGTTGACCAAGGGGTTGCAGGTTCGATTCCCAGTCAGGGCACATACCTAAGTTGTGGGTTTGTATGGGAGGCAACCAATCAATGTTTCTATCACATCAATGTTTCCCTCTCCCCTCCTCTCTTCCTCTAAATCAATAAATATCTCCTCAAGCGAGGAGTTAAAAAAAAATGGCTTATGAAGTAGCCCTGGAAGACTTCAGACTGATGGGGTTGAGGCCTTCCAGGGAGCTGCGGAAACAGGTCCACACCTATTTATACTTGGTTCTCATAGATACTGTTGGTCCAAGTGAATTACTGTCAATTGCAACAAATATTAAAACAAAAGCTGAGGGAAGATTCCCAAGACCTTTTCTTTGTCTTACAGGGAAATGGAGAAGTTCTTACAGAAAATTATAGAGATGAAGGGCTGACCTGCATTTACAATTAAAGCCTGGCATGCCCTCAGTTACTGCCCAGCAGATCCTGTAATTCATAAAGAACAAGAAAGTTTTGTGGAAAGTTCAATTCTCATGTATTGATCTATTAGTCATCTTTTGGAGATGAAAGGGTTCAAAATCAATATAATATTTGTTGTGATCCCTTGCACCTCAAAAAAAAAAAAAAAAAAAAAAAAAAGATACTGTTCTCTCAGCCAGTTCATTAGGGTTTACCCTAACGGGGCACTCAGGTTTACTTCTACTGTTCTCAATTCCATCCCACTGCCGGGTGGGAAATGTTACTCCTTGTAACTAGAACTAGCATTTTAAGTTTCTTATAATTTGAAATATACACAATTCCCCTTCATAAGTGATCGTAAGAGTTGGGGGAAAAAAGTAGAGATATGCTAGGGAAAAGCTAAATATCCGTGCTTTAAAATACTTCTACAGGACACTTAAGGTCTGCTGAGGGTCAGAAGAGCTCCACCTCATAATGCTTTGCCCGCTCTTACCATTTTTGTGCATACTGGCTTCCTGTGTGGCCACAGAGGGCAGTCCCTCCATCATGGAGGTCCACTGTTTAAAGCGAGACTCCGTTCCAGCCTCCTTCCCACCAACCATGCCATAGTCCATGCCGCCAGAGCTGAAGCCTAAAACAGAGAACCACATTTTATATCTTTCTATAAATTTCTAGTATCAGTAACCAAGAGTTCTCAGGCAGAACTCCTGAGTAGTTTCATTTATAACTTAAAGACTAATTCACAAGGAGATTTACTGAGAAACAGATATTTTGATTCATAATGCTGATCTTGGCTCTTGCTTGTTAAAAACATAATCACTGTTAAGGCATGAAAATGTGATGACTGACATGTAATTAAGATCCTCTCACTCACTTACTAATTTGGTTAACATTTGTGACAGACAAAATATTGGGGCCAGTGATCCTCCAACTGACATGGAGGTCTCCACACATCAATGTCATGTGGAACAGCAGCAGCAGCTACAAGGTTGTGGCTGTGGTAAGGGTACTGGGGGAGGAAAGTCTTTGCAGAAGAAAGGAATTTGATCTAGTACATAGGGTACGCATGCAAGTAAGTCAAGGAAACCAAGAACAAAGCTTTAACTCATGACAGTAAGTCCTATTTAAGGAATGATGAGAGTCCAATGTGACTCCAAAGCTTGGCTAACAATGGAGGAAGTGAGGAAAGTGGCAGGAGATGGGAGAGGAGTGAACAGTCATGCCATGTAGGGTCTTATAGATCAGATAAAGGAATTTGGGCCTTTTCCCCTCTAAGACAGGAGATAAAATGTTAAGCAAGTGAGAAATAACTAAGTCTGTATTTTAGAAAATGTTAAGCAAGTGAGAAATAACTAAGTCCGTATTTTAGAAAAGAGAACTGGCAATGTGAGAGTGGGGTAGATGAAGGTCAGAACGGAATCTAAGGGATCAATTTGAAAGTTTTCATGTAGTGAAGGCCCCAAAGCTTGAATAGGTAATTAGTAAGAGGTCCAGAGTTGACTCTGCCATGAGTTCCTGGGGAGCTGCAGGTGTCAGGCTTTCCGAAGAGTTTTGGTGGGTGATGTTTTCCCACCAGACAGGGCTGAATAGGTAAAAGTCAAAATGAGAGGCTCACTGATGGAGCCTCACGAGGTCCACCATTCACTCTGGATCAGAATGTACTTAGTATTTTTTTTCAAACTGACTTTCCTAAAAGCAAAATAACGGACTAAAATAAAGAAATAAAACAGGAAAGGGGAAGAACAAATAACCAGAGAGACCATTAAGAGCCACAGTAAATGCGGCAACCCAGAGCGGCGAGCAGGGCCCCCACCATGCTAATGTTCCGGTGGCCTGCAAGAGCCAAAGCCAATCTTCTCTTACCCTTGAATGTCCAGCTCTGACCAGGCCAGACTCCATGCTGAATCTATTTTAATCTCCTACCATCTGCTGAAGTCTTCTTGGCCCCTAAGTACCACTTATCCAAAGCCCACTGAGGGTCCAGGTCATGTTTCTCTCCCCTGTGCGTCTCCCAGTTGTCAAGGATAGTTTTATAAATGCATAATAAATCAAGTTCAATTCATTTCTAAAACCTTCTTAACCTATGTTTAAAATGTTGCCATAATTATAAAGAACACTTCCCTCACACAGTTTGTAACTACACTAGTCTAAGTGATTGAAGGGTGGAGAGCAGAAATCCTTGGCATAAGCTGGAAATATTTTAAATTAATCAATTTTTTTTAAAAGAGGTTTAAGGCATTTTCTTTTGTCCTGTGTAGCTGAGTTGAAATGAGACTGGAGGGCAGGAAGTCCAAAGGAACGAGGGCTTTCTCTGACATAAGCTTTAATAGCCCAAGTGTGTTGTTCCTCGGGCAAATTACAACGCTACCTCTGACAGAGAAAACGAGCCCAAGGTCTTGGATTCCAGGACATCTGAAAGCTGGCTCCAGTCACTGAGAAAGAACTTTTGGATTCTGGTGAAGATTAGAAACAATATAGAGATTAGTAAGAGGATAAGGGACCGTTCCTTACACATTAATTCTCTTTAAAGCTGCTCTAGGATTTCTTTAAAACTCAGTGAATTAAAGATATTAGAGTTCTTTTGTAACACATAAGAAAAATTGTTGTAGAAAATGTAGAAAGTGTAAAAATTGACAAGAGTTATCTTAGGAGAGGAGTCCCTCTGAATCATAGGCAAATTGGGCATTGTTCTCATTAGAAACTTGGGGATCAAATGCCACCAAAATAGGGCAGGACCATAACTAAATAACGAGGTTTGGTAAGGAAAAAAAATTAAAGGGCTGAGAGGAAGAACAGAAGATAAAACTGCCTTCAAAGGTTCATCCTACAAACCCAAAACTATAGAGGAAAAGAAATCAGTGCAAGGTTGAAAGACAGAACTCCCTGTCTTTCTCAATGTCAAGTAGCAATCGACATGACCTTAGGACCCAGAAGGCCCTCAACAAACCTGGAGGAGAGAAGGGACTCCTGAGCCCTGCGCTCTAGTGAATGCATTAACAGAAAGCAGAGAGGAGACCACCCGTGGCCTCGGGGCTGCTTCTGAGCTATCGTGCCTCTGAAGGCAGGAAAACAATGACTGTGTTATACTTGCTATTTTATTTTATTAAAACCAAACTTGCTCAGTCCACCTAGTGGCCTCTCTGTAATTCCCCAGCTTACCAACACTTTACCTCAAATCAAACAAACCATTTAGTTCAGTTTAATGAATATTTATAAAGGGCCTAATTGTGCCAAGCTCTGTGTTAGCAGCTGAGGTACAAATAGAGATAAAACATGCTCCTTCCCTTTCCAGGGACTCATTTTACCAGTATATCCCTTTTACCTGTCTTATCATTCTTACAGAAACAACTCTGCATCTTATCAGTCCTTTCTCCTGCTTCCACACACCTTAATTCATCATCTGTTAACACTACCACTAGGCTCAGTGCTTACCATCTGGAATAAACTTTCAAGTGAACTTGTCCTTAGTTGATCACTCCTTCACTCCCTTTTTCTATAGTTCTCTATTTTCTGCTATTCCTTTCTGCAGATTAAAAAACTACTGCTTTGCAATAATTGTAATACAAATAAATCATAAAAGCAACAAATTACCGAAGTTGCCCATTTCACACAACAGTTTTAATCCATGTCCACATGTACATTATATTGCCACATTCATAATCTAGGACAAATACAAATTACTCTTCTGATATTTCAATAATCTATAATATTCATAACTCTACTTTTCTCACTGGTTATGCCACACGTGTATATTATAAATTTTGTTACATTTTAACATAAAAAGATTTTATTGGAAATGCATTTTCTAGTAAGATGAGTAACTGCCAATTAGTTCAACTACTGTGAATGACAATGATTTATTACTAAAGACCAAACTCATGCTACTCTACACCTATTTTAACAAATTTTTGTAGATATAAAGCACAAATAAATCCTATATAAATAAGACTAGAAAAGGAGTCTTGTTCAAACATTTCTTAGGTCTTATAATTAAGTATATTCCACTTTCCCCAAAGTTCAATAACTTAGATACCAAAATATAACTATTAGATAGGTCATTATCACCTGACCATTTAACTAGCTATATTTTTCTACTTTGCAACAAGCTGAGAATTATAAAACCATCTATTTTACAAAAACAAGCAATTAAAAATTTGTTAAGCAAAGTCATTCAACGTTTTAATTTTGAGAAAACATACCAAAAGAGGCTTTAATTAACACTTAAGAAACTTTTACTTATTCCTGCTACTCTTTTACCCACACGTATCTTTCTTAGTTTGATAGACTCAGAGTTATGAAAATTCAGGTACTATTCATTTTGTTACATCTTTGCCATATACTCATTGAAAAGAGTTAATCTCTGTATAAGCTGTGAATATATATTCATCAAAATTTTATAGCTACAGATTTAGTTTATTCAAAAAAGGCAGCCATATCAGACTTACTTTTAGTCCAAAAATATATTTTTCAATTCAAATAAATGAGGTAATATGTAGTAAGAAAGATTATACAGAATGCATCTTCTAAGGAAGATTGTAACCAGTCAGATTACAATTAATATGATATAAAGCTAATCAAATTAACTTAGCTATTATTTAATAAGTTATTAAATACAAAGAAGTTAATAAGTCAATGTTTTTTCCTTACTCCATTTGGATTATGATACATAGCCAAATTTATATTACTTATGAAGGAGTATGATAAAAAGTGAAAAATTTCTTCAGTAACTGTATGTATGTATATATCCTGAACTCATTCTTCAGCCATTAGAATAGTCACAAATAACACCATTAATCTAACCAGACATTAAGATAAAAATTTTCTATATATTTAGTAAATAAGAAAGATACACTACATGCTGCTAAAATACTAACAGAGATTTACAGTCAACATAAAATTTACTTTCTTTTTTTAATCCTCACCTGAGGACATTCTTTCATTGCTTTTGGAATGAGGAGAAAGAAGGAAGGGAGGTAGGGAGGGTAGATGGGAGGGAGAGAGGAAGAGGAAGAGGGAAGGAGAGAGGGAGAAGGAGGGAGAGGAGGAGAGGGAGAGAGAGAGGGAGAGAAAAAAAATCATTGATGTGAGAGAGCAACATCAATTGGTTGCCTTCTCATTCGCATCCCAACCAGGGATCAAACCTGCAACCTAGGTATGTGCCCTGACCAGGAATCGAACCTGTGACCCTTCAGTCTACAGCACGATGCTCCAACAAATTGCAGGGCAATTTTACTTTTTAATAGAAGGTAGAAAATATTAAAGATGCTATAAGGAATGACTGTCACTGGAATAGATATGTCATGATTTTAGGTTTTTAACAATTTAATTGACTAACATATATCCAACCTAAAGAAAATCACATAGAAGTTTATCCATGAGCTTTACCTGATGCACTGTGAAAATGTGTTTTTAAGAGTGTCACTAACCTATATGCTCAAGCTGTTTGAGGGTGCTTCCCCCCCCCCCCAAGACGTGCTCTAGGATGAGTATTGAGAAGAGCTGAAAAGAACCGTGTGCATCTAAACACATGGAAAAACTGCTGTGGCTTCCAGATGTTCTCATTGCTTCGATATGATTGCACTCAACTTTAAGAACTATGTACTCTGACAAAAAGAGATGGATGAAACAAAGTTGCTCTGCTTTATTATCACATATTATATCTAAATTCAGAACAACTCACCACATAGCAAAATACTCAGATTCTTATGTCAAGCTTCATCCTTAACAGAAAACATGATGAAGAAGGTTAAAGACTGGAAACCCAGCCCTGGCTGGTGTGGCTCAGTGGACTAAGCCACCGGCCTGCAAACAAAAGGGTCGCTGGTTTGTTTCCCAGCCAGGGCACATGCCTGGGTTGCGGGCCAGGTCCCCAGTAGGGGGCATGTGAGAAGAAACCACACATTGATGTTTCTCTCCCTATTTCTCCCTCCCTTCTCCTCTCCTTAAAAATAAATAAATAAAATCTTAAAAAAAAAAAAAAAATAGGTGAGAAAAAGGGAGATTAAAAAAAAAAAAAAAAAAAAAAAAAAAAGACTGGAAACCCAGGAGGTAATGACACTTTCATTAGTCATTATAGGAGGCTTCCTCCTTACTTGGTACCCTGGTGTTCTACACCCTGATGAGCATGCCCTAGCAAGATATGGAACAGTCGAGAGTTTACCTTCCTTTAATGTCAAGTGGAAGAAAGGTTATATTGAATTTAAGTCAGTTCTCAGGTGGATCTTTTTTTTAAATCCTTAGCTGATATATATATAAAAATATATATATATATATTTTAATTGATTTTGGAGTGAGAGGAAGGGAAGGGGGGAGAGAGAGAGAGAGAGAGAGAGAGAGAGAGAGAGAGAGAGAGAGAGAGAGAGAAACATCAGTCAGTTGTCTCCCATAGTGCCGTGACTGGGGATCAAACCCACAACCTAGGTATGTGCCCTGACCTGGAATTGAACCTTCAATGTTTTGGTGTATGGATGATGATCCAACCGAGTCACCTGGCCAGGGCTCAGGTGGGTCATTTTTAAGAAAGAATATAGCTGATGTAAGATGAAAATCTGGAAATTAACTCCCTTAAAACTATCCAGGATCAAGGAGTCCTTGAGGTCTTTGCTCTTCTCAGAATGTGGACACCCCAGGAGGAAGTGGGCAACTCATACAACTAGAGCACGGAGAGCAGAGCCACTTGCCTGGGGTCACTTTATCACTCAAGAGCATGGATTTCAGGTCTCTACAATTCTTGTTTTTCAGTATGCACAAAGAGTATCTTCTTTACCAAAACAAAACCTAAATGTCAATGTGAGAAGAAACCTGCTGTGGTGTGTAGTACCTTTTTAATTTTTACATTTTATTTTTAAATCACTGTTGCCTCACTGATTGGATTCTGCTTACAACATGTTCCCAGTTCTGAAAGAGCTGCGATTTGCCTGCCAACAAATTCTTGATGAATGTCAAAGGTGTAACCTTACTTGTGCTAATTCTATTTAAATCAGATGAACTACAAATCAGAACAATTTTTATCAGTTTGCCTTATAATTTTAGTCCTCCATTTTTTCAAGAGAACATAATTTTATCAGTAGAGCTAAACACCTCAACTTGTACATATTTTAATGGATTATAACCTCGGGCACGTGTAGCAGTCACAGCATGTACAAACATTTACCCTGTCTTTTAAAAATTCCTAGTTCTGGGGGAGCAGACTGCCACTCAGTTGGTTAGAGCGTTGTCTCGATATACCAAGGTTGGGGGTTTGATCCCCGGTCATGGTACATACAGGAAGCAACCAATGAGTAAATAACTGGAACAACAAATCTCTCTCTCTCCCCCCACTTCCGCTCTCTACCTCTAAAATGAACTTAAAAAGTAGGTGAAGAACTGTTTGTGCTATTTACAGATTGTGTGGTAAGCTTCTGAAAACCATGGAAACTAGTGTGTTGGTAACTTAGATAAACTCACCTATAAGACAGAGACTAAGACTATCTACTTTGTATGGCTATTGTGAAAACAGGGTAATGTAGGACCAACCCCTTCCATAGACTTAAAAAATAGTTTTCATTACTAATAACTTACCAGAACCATATCCAGGTATTGGCCCTTTGGTTTGAAGGTCTGGGAGCCCCACATTCAGAGTGTTGGGTACCATGTTGTCCAGATGTGGCTTGGGCCCAACAGGATGAGACGGCGAATGCTTCATGCTGGGCTGCCTCTGCTGCTGCTGCTGCTGCTGCTGGAGTGCACTCACCATCCGAGCCAGCTGGATGGGGGGCAGTCCAGCGCAAGGATACCCAAGGGAAAATGGACACACAATAAGCCAACATCCTGAACTTCACAGGAAAAGACTGCATATGGTTTGACTCTGCTATCAAAGAGGTTAAGCGGAGATGCATTCCTCACAAAGAGCACTAGAGGGACCCTTCTAATCTCACGTACCTGCTGCTCTTGCTGCTGGCGTACAGCTTGAGAAAGCTTTCTCTGGTTCTGTAACAACTGCTGCTGTTGCTGCTGCTGCAAGAGAAGCTGACATGCCTACGGGGAAGAAAGAAAGAGGCCGTAAGTTTCCTAAGATGGATTCACTGAGGACACTGAAAGGGGTCGCTGAGCCAACTGTCCAGGAGGAAAATACCACCAAGCCCCTGGTCTATTGGGCATATTTACCCCCAGCTGAACACACATAAAATGAAGCAAATCAAGTGAAGAAACCTATAGGAGGAAAATCTGCTACTTACCAACTGAAACTGGGGAATCTGTGGAAGCTGGCTCAGCATGGCGATTTGTTGAGGAGATAACTGGGGCCCCACATTGAAAAGACCTGGATTCAGGCCACTGTTGGGAAACTGCTTGAGCATTGAGGCAGAAACCTAGCCAAAAAAAAAAAAAAAAAAAAAAAAAGGAACTGTCAGATTTCTGTGTGAAAAGAATCTTAACAGATGTAAAGCAAAAGCCAATTTTTTCCTTGAGAAATATTTATGAAATGTATTAAATGATTGGGAGAAATACACCAAAGTGCTAGCAATGATTATCGCTAAGTGGTGACATTGTACAAGTTTTAAAATTCTTTTCTTAGATTTTCCAGTCTTTCTACAGAAGGGATGATGAACTTTGCAATCAGGAAAACATCTGCAAGACCAGGAAATTTTAATGACAATGATTTTGTCTGATAAATTATTACTCAAAATGTGCCATAAGACAAAATATACCAAACTCCATAAAACTACAATAAATGCTAAAAGTACTTTGTTATATGAAAAAAACAAACAAACTTGTAAACGAGAGTTACTGGAGTTTTAAATAATGAGTTCTCATTCTAAACACAAAGAGTCACAGAAAGGCAGAGAAGGGACTAGAAGGTCAAATGGTGCAGCTAGTTCCTTCTCCATGGCTTTTGGGAGTGAGTTAGGCAAGGCGGCAGGCACCTCCAGGGATAGAGAAAGGACTCCCTCTCATACTTGGATTGCTTGTTTAAGATGTTTTATCCGACCTGGATTGTGTTGCTCTGTCCTTTCTTTCACTGAACCCAATGAATCAGCTGGTGTCAAGGACAACAAACTTAATCCCTCTTCCTTGAGTGGCAAGCAGGGTACTGGTCCAAGAGGCAGACTGCACGGGTCTGCCATTTCTCAGGTGCGCGACTCAAGGCAAGATACTGAACCTTTCTGAACTTCATTTTCCTTATCTCCAAATATGGAGTATTAATAACTTTAGTGATTGAGAATTTTATGAATTCATGTCAAATGCATAGAGACAATGATTACAGTTCTCTTGTATCTCATCTTCAGGCTAAATATGATTTTTTTTCACCTGCATTTCATTCGATTTTTCAGTACAGAGCCCAGAACAGAAAGCCATTTCCTAGCATAGTCAAGTACTGAGTTGACCTAATACTAATCCTTCTGAAAAAAGCCATACTTTTAATCAACAATGTCTAAAATCTCAGTTTCTCTGATGACTGCATTTTAACTCCCAATTCACACACTAAGCTTACTGTCAATTAAAATCTACAATATTTTAAAATGTTTTGCTTCCCTATGTAATATTTAAGTGGCTTGGTTTTAAATTTTTATTAATTTATGCTTTGATCTTAGGACTTTATTTTTATCTTTACGTGCATGGCACATAGAAGATGCTTGATAAATACCTATTAAATGAACACTATATTTTAACATATTAACAGTCACTCCATCAGCTTCTTTTCTATCCTATCATGCCACTTATTCCCAGTTTGTTTGCCCATTTGGTCGTCCATGAGACTGCTGAACTTGACAGGGCTGAGAGTAATCTACTACCAAGCGACTAAAAACTCCTTTCAGACCTGAAACTGATGTATCTGGGAAGAGTCAGTCAATCATTTATTAATCCACATAACTGTTTCAGCATTTAGTCTGTATTTTTCCATCTTGTCTAAAACAAAGAGATGGCTTGTCAAATGGCTCGTCAAAGCGGAGATACAACTATATCATTCTTATAATCCAAGATTATTTTTACCAGTCAATGAAGGAACTGAGTTAACTCAGAACTTGGTAGAAAGTTATGATTTTTGATTTCTATTCACAAGTGCTCAAAATTAATCTTTTTGATAATCTAGTTCAGAATCTTGCCTAAAACTGGCACAAGGTTCATCAGTCTTTAAGCAACTTTCCTTATTCTTTCAAAAATTGTTTTTAAAATTTCCCCATTCTCCTCATCTCCTTGTAGGGCAGGGGGGGCCTTTCCCCTTTCTGACCGGAGGCCCGGCAGAGGCGCACCCACCACTGTCACAGTCGCAGCACCAAGCCTCTTTCCTCCTTTTTGGGAGCGAGCCTACGGGGGAACTGCCCTGTTCCAGTGACTGGGGGTACACCTGCAACTCAGTATTATGAAGCTCACATTCTCCAGTATCGGCTTTCTCAGTAGTAAGGGGGGTATTTTGGCCCCCATGAACCTTCCTCTTTTGTCTGAAAAATTTAGGATTTGGGTGGCAAAGAAGGGTCGTGTCCCTCATGCTGGTCTATCAATTCTATCATTTTGGAAAGTCTTTTGGTTTAAAGCAATAGTTTTCCCAGCTGTTTCTTCTCTCTCCTCTCAGAGACGCTGAGTGTTACCAAGTAACTAAAAATTTTGTTTGACTTCCTATTTTAAGTGTTGGACCCTTAGCAGATGTGAGCACACTGCTACTGTGCATTTTGCCTTTGCACTAGTTTTATGGCCAACATGAGGGACACACCCTTTACTATTTTCCCCAAATAACAACTCTTCAACTCTCCTTTGAGTTCAACCAAATGGTAACCAGTGCGACTTAATTTAATGTCTCTGATACAATGGTTATAATTTTCCCATATTAAGATTTTTGGGGGTGGGGGTAAGGACTACACATGTAGAAATATCCTACACTATCTATCAACACTGTAATTCCAAACTGGAGTCTTAGTCCACTATACCTCAGTGACCCATGAAATCATATTTACTATCTTCAGTGTAACTCAATATTTAATTTACCAACTGCACTGGGTTGAACACTGTTTCCCTCAAAATTCATGTCCTTTTGGAATTCCATACTGTGAACTGATTTGGAAATACGATCTTTGTAGATATTATCAAGTTTAAGATGAGGTCATACTGGATTAGAGTAGCCTAATCCAAAGACTCGTTTCTTTGTAAGAAGAGGGCAATTTGGACACCGAAACAGAGAAAAAGTCATGTGAAGACAGAGAAATGGGGGAAGAGTAACATGTGAATGTGGAGACAGAGACTGGAGCAACACGTTAATAAATTAAGGAATGCCGAAGGACTTGCCAGCAGCCGGCGGAAGCCAGGACAAGGGCACGGAATAGATTCTCTTTGACAGCCTCCAGTAGGAACCACCCCTGATGACACCTTGATTTTGTACCTCTAGCCTCCAGAACTGTGAGAAAATAAATTTCTGTTGCTTCACGTTTTCTAGTTGTGGTAGTTTCTAGGAAAGAAACTAACACAGTGACTACTTAAGCCCATGCTGTCCAGCACCAACCACATATCTTATGTGGCTCCTAAGTACTGGAAACAGGGTTAATCTAAGTTGAGATGTGCCTTAAGTATAAAATACACATCGGATTTCAAACGCTTGGTATTAAGAAAAAGTAAAAATTTCAACAATAATTTTAAAGCATTGATTACAGGTTGAAATGATAATTTAGCCATTCTGAGTTAAAGAAAATAATGTATTATAAAAATTAATTTCATCTATTTCTTTTTATCTTTTTAAATGTGGCTACTGCCCCAGCTGGTATGGCTCAGTGGATTGAGTGCTACCCTTTGGTTCACAGGCCAGTACTCAATCCACTGAGCCATACCAGACAGGGTCCCAGGTTCAACTGCCAGTTTGGGCCCTTGCCTGGATTACGGGCCAGGTCCTCAGTAAAGGGTGCACAAGAGGCAACCACACATCGATGTTTTTCTCTCCCTCTTTTTCTCTCTCTCAAAATAAATAAATAAAACCTTTTAAAAAATGTGGCTACTAAAAACTTTAAATTACATGATGTGGCTCATCTATATTTCTATTGGACAGTGCTACCCTAGGCCATCAGCATTGTTTCTAACTTCTTCCAATGTTTTGTTCCACATATGATCCATGTGAAATCTCCTCGCTTTGTCTCCCAATCTGCTGGTCTCTAAAATAAATAGCCATTGTCTGAACTTTCATTTCTCCCCACTTCTTCACTCAGTTTCAAAAGCTCTACTGAACAATGAACATGCCAAAAATTGGACAACCTGGGTGAAATGGATAAATTTCTAGAAACATACAATCTTCCAAAACTGAATCAGGAAGAAGCAGAAAACCTGAATAGACTAATAACAACTAGTGAAAATGAAGTAGTAGTTAAAAAACTGCAGACACAGAAAAGCCCTGGTCCAGAGGGAGTCACAGGTGAATTTTACCAAATACTCAAAGAAGAATTAATACCTCTCTTTCTCAAACTATTCCAAAAAATTCAAGAGGGAAGACTGCCAAACTCTTTTATGAGGTCAGTATTACCCTAATCAAAAAACCAAGTAAAGACATGATAAAGGAAGAAAATTATAGGCCAGTATCTCTGATGAATATAAATGCTAAAATTCTCAACAAAATGCTAGCAAACTGAATCCAACAATATATTAAAAAGGTCATACACCACGCTCAAGTGGGATTTATTTCAGGGATGCAAAGATGGTACAATATTCACAAGTCAAAAATGTGATGTATCACATAAACAAAATGAAAGACAAAAATCACATGATCATCTCCTATCAATAGGTGCAGAAAAAGCATTTGATAAAATCCAGTACCCATTTATGATAAAAACACTCCACAAAGTGGGAATAGAGGAAACATACCTCAACGTAATAGAGGCCATATACGAAAAACCAAATGCCAACATCATACTCAATGGGCAAAAACTAAAAGTGTTTCCTTTAAGATCAGCAAAAAGACAATGCTGTCCATTTTCACCTCTCTTACTCAACACAGTACTGGAGGTCCTAGCCACAGCAATCAGACAAGAATAAAAGGCATCCAAACTGGAAAGGAGGGAGTAAAACTCACCATTTGCAGATGACACGTGCACATAGTGTACATAGAAAGCCCTAGAGGCTCCATGAAAAAAAAACTTGACATAATAAGTGAACTTGGCAAAGTAGTGGGATACAAAGGCAGTATTCAAAAATCGATGGCATTTCTGTAAAACAGTGAACTATTAGAAAGAGAAACTAAGAAAAAAAAAATCCCACTTACTACAGCAACAACGAAAAAATAAAGTATCTAGGAATAACCAAGGAGGTTAAAGACCTGTACTCGGAAAATTATAGAACACTGAAGAAACTGAGAAAGATACAAATAATTGGAAGCATATACCCTGTTCTTGGATTG